ATCGCCCCCACAGCATGCGTCTTCCGGGCTTCAAGGTTACTTCATCCTCCTCTTTCACAGTGGTAGCGTTGGGACGTTTCTGCTGGTGAGGGCATGAGTGACCCTCCAGTGTAAAAAGACTCGGCATTTGGACACTGCAGGGTTTTCTAAATCTTAGATACAGTCCTCAGTAGAATAACATTTTCTTATATAGCTAGGATTTGGCAGGCCTTTTTAAATTCTTTTTTTTTTTTTAAAGATCTATTAATTTATTTGAAAGAATTACAGAGAGGGGAAAGACACACAAAGAAGATCTTCCATCTACTCTTGGTGCACGCTCCGGATTAGAGCCAGCTCCCCAGGCCAGCCAAGGCCAGCATGCAGCAGGGTCCAGCTCTCCCATGTGGGTGACAGGGCCTAAACACGTGGGTCATCTACTGTTTTCCCAGGCCATTAGCAGGGAGCAGGACTGGAGGTGGAGCAACCCCAACATAAGCTGGTGCTGGTGTCTGTATGGGATGCTGGCATCGTGGGTGTCAACTTTACCTGTGGCGCCACAACATCGGCCTCTCTTTTCGTTTGTTTGTTTAATTTTGATTTTTCGTGGTACAGTTCCATAGGCTCGGGAATTTTCCCTTCCACTGACGCCACTTTCCCACTTCCTCACTGTTTCTCCCCATGTTATAACAATAGTATAGTTCTTCCAGCAACAGAAACAAGTCCGTCATCCTGCTATTTAAATGTATCATGTCATTGTGGGTGTAGATGATGGCAGAAAGTCCAGGATACTATTGTCAGGATATATTTAACAGTTTCAGTAGAAGTCCCTTTATTCGGGAGTAGCGATGCATACTGCAACGTATCTTCATTTCTCAATACGCTCTTCCAAAGTTTTTATTTCTTTTTTTTTTTTAAAGATTTATTTTTATTATCTTTTCATTGGAAAGGTGGATATACAGAGAGGAGAGACAGAGAGGAAGATCTTCCGTCCGATGATTCACTCCCCAAGTGAGCGCAACGGGCCGATACTATGCCGATCGGAAGCCAGGAGCCTCTTCCGGGTCTTCCACGCGGGTGCAGGTTCCCAAAGCCTTGGGCTGTCCTCGACTGCTTTCCCAGGCCACAAGCAGGGAGCTGGAAGGGAAGCGGGGCTGCTGGGATTAGAACCGGCGCCCATATGGGACCCCGGGCGTGCAAGGCGAGGACCTTTAACCACTTGCGCCACCGCGCCGGGCCCAAAGTCTTTATTTCTTTTAAAGATTTATTCATATTTATTGGAAATACAGAGTTACAGAGAGGAGAGACAGAGAGAAAGATGTTCTGTCTGCAGGTTCACTCCCCAAGTGGCTTCAATGGCCATAACTGAGCTGATCCAAAACCAGAAGCCAGGAGCTTTTTTGGGTCTCCCATGTGGGTGCAGGGTCCCAAGGTATTGAGCCATCCTTTACTGCTCTCCAAGGCCACATGCGGGGACCTGGATGGGGAGCGGACCAGCCAGGACATAAACTGGTGTCCACCTGGGGTCCTGGAGCTTGTGAGGTGAGGATTTAGCCATTGAGCCATCACGCCTGACCCGCTCTTCCAAATTCTTTACTGAAAAACATTTCTACAAGCTATGCTAAGTAAGAGATGCTTTTATTTCTCATGCTGTCACTCCCCCACCACCACTACCACAAAACTGTTCTAGCAGCATATGTCTACAAGGCTATTTGAACTGTACTTTGATTTAAATATTCTGCATTCTTCATGTACAATCTCCCATCGGGATCTTCTTGCCTTGCGACCGGCACTTTTGTCCTGAGTTTTCACCTAAGTCAGTTACTCCTTATTAATTTCCAGAATGAAACCTTAACGTTAAAAAACGAGACAGAGAAAGAGAGAGAGATGTATCTAGGAGACAGGATGTTCCCACCCACTGGTGCACATCCCAGGTGCCCACAGTGGCTTGGACTGTGTCAGGGTTGAAGCTGGGACTGCTGGGCAGGATGGCAGAAGCCCAGGTTCCGGAGACATGCCCGCTGCTCCCGCAGGTCTGCATTAGCAGGGAGCTGGATCCAGGAGCTTGGGCTTGTGGTTGAGCTGAGTTGCTGCTGCCACCCCGATCAGAGCACTGAGCGGAGTCCTGCTGCTCTGCCTTAGACTCAGCTCCCTGCCGATGGGCCTGGGAAAGCTGCAGAGGATGGCTCAGGTCCGCGGGCTCCTGCTGCTCATGTCGGAGGCTTGGACAGCGGCAAGGTCCTGGCTGAGTCTGGGACCAGTCCCCAGCTGTTGTGGCCCTTTGGGAAGTGAGCCAGTGCATGGAAGAGCTCTGCCTCTCCCTCTCTGTAACCCTGCCTTTAAGACAAAAACAGAAACAAAATTTGGGTATTCCCACATGGAATTGGGCAACAGGAGTCTTAAGTGCCCACCTCAGCCCCCATTCTGCCCTTGGGATGAGTCCTGTAAAGATTTGTGAATGGAGCCTACCTTCTCCATATTAGGATGTTAAGAGCCAGTAATGGATAAATCATGTTTTATTTCTACCACAGTCAACTTTTAAGTACAGGGGACTGTCTTTCGAAAGTGTAACTTTTAAAAAAGTCACTCATGGAATAAAATTTGCTGGAATTTTCTCCATAGTAACTAGGAAGTAACCAATGGGGTCAGGATGAGTGGTATTACTGATATTCACCAATACCTTCCACTTCCTTTTCCAACTCAGTTCAAGGCCCCAGAGCCCTTGGCCATGGCGGAAGGCTCTGGAATCTGTCTGGGCAATGCTCTGTGGCCAGTGACCTGCTTCCATTCCAAGATCAGGTGTTGTCAGGTGTTGGGATGTCCTGGTCACTCCGCCCTTTTCTTCCTCTGTTGTGGAGGATGGGCCGCTGTGTTCCTGCTGACCCAGGAGGTGGTGGTGTCTCTGCCAGGTTCACAGAAGCCAGAAGCATGCGCCAGCTGGTCACACGCCATCGATGAGTGACGGCTGTCAGTGTCATGTTTTTAAGTAAGAGATAAAGACTTCTGTTAATTTGCCGGTAGCACCATTCATATTAAGGATGTTAGCTAGCCTGAGGTCTAGCTTTTTAATCACATGTAATTCAGATATCCCTTAAGTTTTCCATTTTCCACTAATTCTCCTGTGAATCTTTTTTAAAAAGTACTATATTTAACTTTCATCTGTAAAATTGCCATGCTTTCCTCAAATGATCATTTTCTTAACATCAAATGCAGTGTTTAACCACAACATTATGATTTTCAAAGCATTTTTAACTAGAGCACACGGCTGTCGATTCCGGACACCTGTGCTCCTGTAGCGGCCACTCCTGTGGCGGCCCCGAGAAGGGACAGGCCGCTCTGGCTGGCGTCTCAGGTGGCTCTCATAGGAAGGGCAGGCACAGCCTCCACACCTCAATTCTTTTCCCATCTTGGAGGTCAGTTTAACCTTGACGGACTGAAGAACTGTCCTCTCTTGCTGGACACCAGGGAGTGCAGGTGGAAGGTTTTTTCTTTTTTGGGTGGTTTTTTTTTTAAATTAATTTTATTTTTTATAATGATTACACAGTTGATCAGGGTGGGAAGGATCGAGGTTTAGGGAAATCTGAATGAACTCATCGTTTCCAACTTTTCTGTTTCTTCCCGTTGTTTCTGGGGGAACAGAAGAGACGAAGGGGGAAGCCACGCATGACTTTCCACAGGTCCCAGTACTAGGGACGAGGAACCGCCACCTCACATCAAGCCAGAGTCTCAATGTGCACATATTCTGAGGGCTTGGATAGTTCTGAAATGCTGCCGATTTCAACGGTCCTAGGGTGACGCACCCTCCCAATGTCTGTCGGCTGACACAGTACGTCCCCATTCACTGAGGCTCCTGCTGTCATCGTTTGACTGGGGCAGCCGTCCAGTTTGTTCTGTTCCGCTGCGACACCAAATGTGCTGCCATATTCTCCTTTTACAGCAGGGCCCGTGTCCACCGCTCCAGGCAGAAGTTTTTAAGCCACTGTGACAATGCTTTGGTGCCGAGTGATGGAGTGCTGTCTTTTAATATTTTATTTATTTTTTTAAAAGATTTATTTTTAATATTTTAAAAACCTGCAGAACAAGTATTGTCCGTGACCAACTTAAATCCCAGCGCCTAGGAAATGGTCCCTCAAAACATCGGCTGGCATCGGTGCTGTTCTTTCCCAATTCCCATCTTGCCTTCAGAACTGTTTAGAGACTTCTAGCGCGTTCAGGGGATGGAAAGGACCAAAACACCCACAGGCCTGAGGTCACCTTGCCGGGCACAGTGGGTGGCGTCGAGCCCATCTGCCCAACAGTTTCCTGGCAGCCCAAGAGATTCTCAAAGTCCGGCTCCGCTGGCTCTTATGTATCGTTACTGCTTTGTCAGAACGGGGCTGGGCCGAGGCAGGCCGCCTGTTCTGCAGGCGCGATCTGCCGCACCCCGCGCCGGAGCTGTGCTGTGTGCGGGGGAACGGCGCCGACCATGTCCGCCGTGCCTTCTCCTCCAGCGGTGCAAGCGGACGCCGCCACGGAAGGGATCGGACCGGGCAGCGGCGAGGGGAAGGCCGGGGCCCAGGGTGACCGGCGCGGCCCGGCCTGCGCGGCCCGAGCCGAGGCACCCCGCGCCTGGGCCACCCGACGGCGCAGCTGCCCCCGAGACGCGGGAGGCAGGTGCGGTGCGGCCACGCGGAGGGGCGCGCGCCCAGGGACGTGTCCAGCGCGGGGCCGGGGCGAGGGGCGCGGGCGCGGGCAGGGGTGCGGGGCGCTGAGGCGCTGAGGCGCTGAGGCGCGGGCCCGCGGGCGCCCCCTCCCCGGCTCCCGCGCCGTGCGCGCCCCCGCCCCGCGCGCCCCCGCGCCGCGCGCCGCCGCCCCGCGCCGCGCTCTCCTTCCCGCCCTCCCCGCGGCGCGCCGGCCGCTTCCCCTCAGCCTCTCATGAATATTGAGCGGCCCCCGCGGTGTTTCCCGAGCTCCATTGCGGAAGCCCAGGCTCGCCATATTGAGCGGCGGCGCCGGCGGCCGCGGCGGCTCGGGCGGCCCTTCTCGCTGCGGCCGCGGCCCGCGGAGCCCGGGCGGGGGCGGCAGCCGGTGAGTGGCGGCTCGGGCCGGGCCGCGGGGCCGCGGGGCCGGGAGCGGGGCTCGACCCCGCCGCCCCGGCCGCCGCGGGGCGGCGATGGCGGGGAGGCGGCCTCTCATTGTTCGCGGCGAGGGCCGTGGCGGGGGTGGGGCGGGAGCGCGGGTCCCTCCCGGGCCTGCTGCGGCCTTCCCCGCCGGGGCCTCGGCTCGGCCTCCGGCGAGGGCCGCGGGCCGGCTCGCGCGTGGCCAGGCCGCGGGGCCGCGGGGCGAGCCGGCACGTGCGGCGCCGCCCCCGAGGGTCGGCTCACGGACGGACGGGGTGCGAGGCTGCGGGTGATCCGCCCCGGCTGCGCCCGAGCCGTCGCGCGAACGGCGTGGGTTGCCGCGGGAGCTGTTCCGGAGTGCGCTCGGGTCGTCGGATTTACGGGGAAGTTCAGTGTCAGCCGTGGGACTGTTGGGTATGCCCCTCCCGCCCCCGACAGGGCTGCTTGTCAACAGGTAGCTTTGCGTGCCTCGACTGTGCGCCGATCCCACTTTTTAGCAAAATTGTGCGTGCGTCGGTGAGGCTCCATTTTCCGGGGGAAGCACAGCACCTGCGGCTTCTCCCCTTTTCCCTCGAGACTTTGGTGGAATCCGCGTGAGAGGGCCCTTGGAGTAGATGGAGAACGGGGAATAGGTGGAATTCAGAAAGCGGCCCGAGTCAGCGTTTAGGTATTTGAACACGCAGCCTGGAGCCCTCGAGTGGGCTGTGCGGACGGCGGAGATGCTGGGACCCTGCCCTTTCCCGCTGCCCGTGTGGCTGGCGTCGCACCTGTTCCCGACCTCTGGTTTGTGGGGCCGGGTCTGGCCCTGCCTTAGGCAGTCTTCCGAGTGGAGGTGATGGGTGAGGGGTCACAGTCCCCAGCCCGAGCCGGGATGAACGGGAAAGCGCACAGTGTATGGCAGTGTTCCTAGTATGACTTAAAGCCTCTCATGGTTTTGTAATGACTCATGCAGTGCATGCCGAAGCCGAGCACACTGTGCCCATGGACATGCGCGCCCGTTGGGAAGGTGTTTACTGGGTCCGCCGTCGTTGAATCTCTTCGTTTCTGAGGGTCCGCACTAAGGTGCGACTTTGTGACCTGTTGGTTGGTGGGATTCAGGGCAGCCAGGGGCGGTGCTGCCCACCTGGCCTGCCCAGGGTCTCCCTGGCTCTGCCCTCTGCCGGCCGTCTGTCTTCCGGGTGTGTTGGGGTGAGGGTAGACTCCCTGCCAGTGTTCTCGGGGCTCCTGGCGTGGTGAGTGGGTACTAGGCAGCAGGTACAGGATGCGGGCCTCCTGGGGTTGCCGTGGGCAAGCTGGGGACCCCCAGGGCCTGGGTGCTGGGCAGCTATGAAACTTCATGAATCCTGTAACTTATAATTTTGAAAGACAAAACCCATTTTATGTATATTAAGTACAGTATTGAAGAATTGCTTCTGAAGTGAACCAGAGGTTAAGCTGTCTAATGAGAGCATACTGTTCAGGGAAAGAAGAGGAGAGAGAGAAACAGCTAAACATCTGGTCATTTGGTTCCGAAGGATGTGTTGCTTTCGGGTGTTCATGTGATGGGGATTTCTTGTATTTTATGAAGAGATTGGATTTTGAAGTAAGTGTGTCAAATGGAAATCATATGTACTAAAAGTTGGGCTCAAATCCCGTGCAAAGACAGGACGATGTGCTGGTGGTTTCAGCTCTGCGTTGGTTTCTCATCTTGGAGGCCAAACAAGACTGCTGCTTGCATCTTGGGGCCGTTCCACGCCGGCAAAAGGAAAGGTCTTTGCAGGAATCATCGGGCGGGTGTCCGCGTGGTGAGGAGCGTGGGGACGGGGTCTGAGCCTGCTCCCCGCTCTGGCAGGCATCTCTGAGAGGTGGTGGGCCGTGTGCTTGGGCCAACCTGGATGGTTTGATTTGCTGGTTTTTTTCCTTTCTTTCCAAAACCAGATAGTCTGTCACAAAAATTCTGCTCTTTTGGTGTGACTTAGATGTGGATTTAGAGGATTTGTGAACGTTTTGTGTATGATTTCTCTTTCCTCTTGAATGAAGCAGCACGCTGTCGCAGAGGGCATCACCGTGTTTGACTTCGTGTCAGGTGTGTAAGAGAAAGCAAACTTCAGTGGGACTTGGAACAAAGGAGCTTGATGGGATGAAGGGCATGTGTCACAGGCAGAGCGAAGAGGTCCCACGGACCTGGCGTTGCCCTCTGGTGAGCTCTGCTTGCTCCTGTGGCTGTGGCCAGAAGGACCTGCCGCTGCCACCAGCAGGAGCCGGGCACTGAATGTCCATCCACCTGCGTCCCAGTCTTCATTTACTACTTCCGTTGGCAAAAATTGGCAGTGACTTGGCTGCCAAGGAGCTGGTTGCAGTGCTCGTTCCAGCTGTGGGGAGCAGAGTCTGCTCGTGGTTTCAAAGTGGAGGGAAGGTGCCCTGCATGGTTAGCATACACTCAGACACAGTTTACGCAGAGAGCCCTGGCTGCCAGGGAGGCCGGCGGGTCCCTGTCCTTGAGGAGTTTACAGCAGCCACACGTGAGTGCGTGCTGGGACCCAAGCCCACGTGTGGCTGCTGCTACTCCGCCGCTCAGCCGAGTTTAATGCTGGCTGTTCCTATCCTACTTCCCGATTAACCCAGCTTGCTTCTTTCTGCCTGCTCTGTTCGGCCCAACTCTTGCAGAAGCTGTTTGAGGGTTCGGTTTTGTCACATCATAGTGTTTCTTAAATGTGGGTTACAAACCCCATCATGTTCTGTATACTTCAGCCTAGCCTCGCACTGTGCACACACATGTTCAAGAAACGTGTGTGTTCCCAGTGGGTAAAATAGTGACTGGGATGTGTAGACATTGTCTTCTCAGATCACCAGAACAAAAGTTGGAAAGGACAGAACAGTTCATTAGGGCTGAAGTAACACTGGGGCTTTTAATTTGTTGTATTGCGGAGCCAACTATTTTGGTATAAATTCTTTCTGGTTGCCAGATAAAGTCCTTGCTCCCTTCCCTCTTTTTATAAACCAATGTTTTAGGGGCCTGGCGTAGTTGCCTAGTGGCTAAAGTCCTCGCCTTGAACGCGCTGGGATCTCATATGGGTGCTGGTTCTGATCCCAGTAGCTCCATTTCCCATCCAGCTCCCTGCTTGTGGCCTGGGAAAGCAGTGGAGGACGGCTTAGTGCTTTGGGACCCTGCACCTGGTTGGGAGACCCGGAAGAAGTTCCTGGCTCCTGGCTCCGGATCAGCACAGCCTGGCTACTGCAGTCACTTGGGAAGTGAATCATAGGACAGAAGATCTTTCTCTCTTATCTCTCCTCTTCTCTATATATCTGACTTTGTAATAAATAAATAAATCTTTTTTTTTTAAGATTTATTTTTAATTTTTATTGGAAAGGCAGATATACAGAGAGGAGAGACAGAGAGGAAGATCTTCCATCCGATGATTCACTCCCCAAGTGAGTGCAACGGCCGATGCTATGCCGATCCGAAGCCAGGAGCCTCTTCCAAGTCTCCCACACGGGTGCAGGGTCCCAAAGCTTTGGGCCGTCCTCCACTGCTTTTCCAAGCCACAGGCAGGGAGCTGGATGGGAAGCAGGGCTGCTGGGATTAGAACCGGCGCCCATATGGGATCCCAGGTGTGCAAGGCGAGGACCTTAACCACTTGCGCCACCGCACCGGGCCCCTAAATAAATAAATCTTAAAAAAAAAAAACAATGCTTTAGCATTTCACAGCAGTTTGTAGTGGGAGGAAGACAAGTGCCTCATTTTGTTCTGAACCGGTTCCTGTGATTGCTTGCTACGCTGCTGTTGGGCAGTGTCCGCGCACTGCCTGACTGGGTATTTGCCACTGGTGTTGGTGTTCCGAGGTGTGGGGCTGGACTGGGCACCCGCTTCTGTTTCAAGGGAGTGTTGTGGATGCGCTTCTGTTTCAAGGGAGTGTCTGTTGATGTAAAGTAAGCTAGCTGTTCTTCCCTTGCTGAGAGGTGTGCCTCTTGCTAGTGGCTGCAGTTGAATGCTGACTGGCGCCCAGCCCGACGTTTGGTCGCCAGCCTCGCGCTCACAGAAGGGCTGGTGTGGGGCGGTGCGGGGAGCTGGGCACTGGGGCAGCAGGCTGTATTGCTGGGCCTGCTTCTGGTACAAACAAGATTCTTGGCTTTTCCGAGGGGTTTTTAGTATTTCTTAAATCACCATCACTGACACACTTTGTTTTCCCCTAAAGCCCTGACGTAATGTAGGTAAAAAGTTTTTTGTAAGCCCCAGAGCACATTAAAAAGTGAAGGGAGGGCGCGGCGCGGTGGCGCAGTGGTTAAGGTCCTCGCCTGGCATGCCCGGGATCCCATATGGGCACCGGTTCTAGTCCTGGCAGCCCTGCTTCCCATCCAGCTCCCTGCCTGTGGCCTGGGAAAGCAGTCGAGGACAGCCCAAAGCTTTGGGACCTTGCACCTGCGTGGGAGACCCGGAAGAGGCTCCTGGCTTCGGATTGGCTCAGCTCCAGCCGTTGCAGCCGCCTGGGGAGTGAATCATCGGACAGAGGATCTTCCTCTCTGTCTCTCCTCTCTGTATATCCACCTTTCCAATAAAAAATAAATTTAAAAAAATCTTAAAAAACAACGTGAAGGGAAATACATGAAGAGAGAAAAAGACCCATTGATTGCTTGGATGCTGGACATAGTTTTGTGTGTTCTCAAGTTTTTGAATTTCCACATTTAAAGTGTTATGAGTGGGCCTGGCACAGTGGTTTAGTGACTAAAGTCCTCGCCTTGAATGTGCTGGGATCCCATATGGGCGCTGGTTCTAATCCTGGCATCCCCACTTCCTATCCAGCTCCCTGCCTGTGGCTTAGGAAGGCTGTCAAGGACGGCCCAAAGCCTGGTGACCCTGCACCCGTGTGGGAGACCTGGAAGAGCTCCTGGCTCCTGGTTTTGGATCAGCTCGTCTCCGGCTGTTGCAACTGCTTGGGGAGTGAATCATCAGAGGAAAGATTTTCCTTTCTGTCTCTCCTGCTCTCTGTA